GGCCCCCCCCCCCTGCCAGGCCTGCCCTCCTGCCAAGGTGCCCCCAAGCCCACACAACCGGCCACACTCCTCTCCTCTGGCCAGAGATGGCTCCCGTCTGGCCAGACTGCGGACGTGTTCGGTCACTGCTCTCCCCCCAGCCCCAGAAGGGCTCTTCGCCTGAGGCTCAGAAATGGCTAAGCTGGCCGTAAGTGAAATAGGAAAAGGAAAAGGATGGCTTTCATGGAAAGGACTTTCATAACCCCTGCTGAAAAAGTAAACTCATACCTTGCAGAAGTTAGATCAGGAAAAAAGATGAGGAGAAGTGAAATTAAGATGACTAGAAAATGATCTAAAACCTTGGAAACAAAAAAACAAAAAACAAAAAAAAAGAGGAAAGAACAGCCAGGGGGTTATTATAAACATAGCTGCTTGAGCAGGGGGGTTGGACTAGATGATCTCCAGAGGCCGCTTCTAACCTCAACCATTCTGTGATTCTGCGATAAGGGCTGTTACAATCTTAACATTTACAGACCAGCCTAGCTCGTATACAATTAAATGTCAAGGAAATTAGTTCAAACATAAACTGTAATTAGGAAATAAAGATTTTTATAAACTTAACAAGACACTTTAAATGTACTCTTTATTTCTGATTTCCGAGGAAAAAGTCTGATTCATTCGGAGTGCTGTTAAAACTTATATCCCAATCCTTTCAAACAGTTGCTTCCCATTCTAAAATTGCACATGTATCATGTTTATAAATATAAGCTGAATTGTCACATGTTGCAAAGAATAGCAGTATAACATAACTGGAACTATACTCTGGGATACAGGATCCAAGAAAAGCAATTAAATACTGATAGATTCTGTATTTTTAAGTAAACATCTACTTCAGAGCTAAATACTGACCTAATTAGCATATAAAGTATTCTAATTTTACATACGCATAGGTACAGAAAACATCTGTATAGATGGTATATATGTATGATGTTACTTTTTTTTTAACTAAGCATGTTTATTTTAATTTTTTAGCATAGATTATTAAACTACTACCATTTCCATGGATTTCATCTCTGTAGTGCCCTGGTACTACAGTTTCCCATGAAACTGTCCTTCTTTCAGCAAGCTATGGCTATCTTCATGCAGTATGCCCTTTTCGCATCTGTTAACCTTCTCTACCCTTCATTTTCAGCTTGGATCTGTGCTTCTGAATGCTTCTGGGTACAAAAGGAAAGGACTAATCCCTGGGGGAGTTTCCCCTTAGAAAAGCTAGGAGCTCATTTGCAGTATGGCCCACTTTGCACTGTCCTTGAATGCCTGTGCTATGAACTTTTCTGCTTCTTTCCTTCAGCAACACTGGCTTTTCTTAATTGGCAATGACACTGCTCGAGTCTGTCCCTGAAACTGTTGAGTCCTTCATTTTCATCCCCTTGACCTCTTCCAGTTCAGCGATGATGGTGTGAAGAGGAAAAACTTTATCTCTGAAGGCTACGAGAGCGTGCACAGATGTGCTACCGAAAAGACACTTCTACAAAAGACACTAGATGTAATATGCTGAAAAACACTCATTTTCTCAGAGTTCCACTTTCCTTCTTTCTGCCTGAATGGGTAGGAGAGCAGCACCAGAAGTTTGCCTTTGTATCTTTTGGTTCCAAAAAGTCTCTTCTTGTGCCTCTCCTTTGGGCTTTGGGACAGAGACCCACCTGGCTTCATGTTACCACACGGCAACAGAAAAAGGTTGAAACTCATTTGGAAAAGCAGGGCAGAGAAGGAGAATAACTGAAAGCGAAATGCCACAGGGCCCAAGGGGCCGCCTGCGCTGTGCTGAATGGGCAGGCAGGAAAGAGTAACCCGTATCTACCATGCCATCCGCATGTAAGTCTGGCAAAAAGATAGTGTCAGGGAGCTGTGATGAGAATTCGGACAGGACCTCTGTCCAAATAATTATGATGATATCGATGAGCCAGGAACATTTGAGTGTCTGCAGTTTCAGATGAAAAGCAGCAGAAAAAGAAAGCTAGAAGTGACGTCAAAATATGCTCCTCTAAGACGGGAGCTGTGAACATATGAGAGTGAGGCAGAAAAAAAGTCCTGAGATGGGGTAACGATGGGGTACGCTTCAAATCCCTACTGCCACTGAAACAGTGAACTCCCTTCTCCCACCATGCTGATAGGTGCTTGAATAGCTAGGCTGTAGGTGATCAAGGTTCATGTGCCTCAGATAGAAAAGTTTCACTTTGCATAACTGCAGCAATATTTGTCAAGTGAGAAGGGATGGCAAAGAAGTAGAGATTGATTCCGTTGCCTGCTCATCAGGACAGTCATGTGGGATGCAACAGTCAAGTTCACATACCTGCCCCAATGCGTATTTATTGACTTACAAAGTGCAACACCATCAATAAATTATTAAATATTCATTGGCATAAGGACTTACACCTGAATCTCCCAACTTGGCGCCCAAACTTCCAACCAATGGTCACTTTTTCACTATTTCATCCTATGGACAAATGAACATTGAGCTATTTTTACTATGTGAGTCTGTGTGACAGAACTAGGCAATCACATCCAAACCTGCTCGTGAGCTAGCGGTAGAGTGCTAAAGGCTTTTTTCTTCCCCAAGTCAAACAGTTTCTACTCAAATCTTTCTCCCAAATTGGGCAGAAAGAAATATGAACCCAGGCCCATATATCACAGCAGACTGTGTTAAACATGAGGGTATTCAGTTCCACTTTTTATGTGTTTCACAAGATAGGGCTGACACGATTTAGACATTTAAATACATGAAGAGTAACATGGCTCAAAATCCTAATAATCTCTGTTTCTATAAGACACAGGGCTTGAGATTCACTTCCGCTCCTGAGATTTCCTTATGGCTAATTTAGGCATTGCAGATCCTGCTCTCAAGTATCTAAGTCCTCCTACTTGTAACTTCATGGCCAACTCAAAAGCTGCATATCCCACAAACTGGCAAGCTAATTGAGAGTCAGGCCCTATAATGTTGTGCATAAGAAACCTGCGTCTATCCCACGGGTGTTTTTGAAAACATTAAATAGATTATTGGTAGTAGTCTAAGTAGTCCTTTTATTTTATCCATTTGGACAAAAAAAAAAAATCACAGCAGCTGTATTTACATAAATTTGGTAAATATTTGATATTTCAAAGTGCAGCTGTCCTTAGACAGAATGGCCTGGATTATCACCTGTGGGATATAATTCTCAGTACTCTGTGAGAAGACAACTAACTCTGATATTCTTAGTTATCACTGAGCCCTGCAACAAGGGCTTCAGCTCTTAATTGGCTTTGCAACCCTTCCTCAACTCACAAAACATTTTACTCTTTCTATCCTTCTCTTTGCACAATTTAAAACGAGTCTTAGCTCTTTAATGCAGTTGCTGATTCTACACTGTGCAGAGGAGTTTCCTGGAATGTAACTCATTTTAAAATATTACATTGTAGTTCAATAATTTGAGATACATTTGCAAACTTGAACTTGCATCTTATGCTAATATTTCTGTGATGTGCAGCAAAGGAAATCTAAACGTTGGAATGACTCATTTATTGTTGCAGCTATTGTAGAACTCTTAACAAAGAGATTTCTAAGCGATCTAACGGTTAACTTAAACGATTTAAGGAAGCCTGATAAAGAACCCTGACGAAAACCCAATCCACATCTACTACCTACCAAAAAGAAGTAATTCAGCAAACTAAGGAATTTGTAAGAAATGGACAACTGAAGTTTGGAACACGCAGAACACCTTGCGAATATCTTCTAAAAGTCACTATAATGACAATGCCAGCAGTTTAAAGGTTGACACAGACATTTTTTCTTTTTTTAATGGAGCTTTTAACTGATTCATCACAGCATAAAATTCTACTTTATTTTTGTCTTACTTCTATTGTAATTATCCTATCTTATACTCCCTTTGCCTCCATTTTCACATCCTTCTATCATATCCTATTTCTGGAAAGCCCTCGTACTATCACTCAGTCTTCAGCTTTTCCTTAATGCAAAGTTTCTTACTGAAATTAAATTTCAAATGAAAGTTGGTGAAGCAGACACAGAGATGTATCTCAGCA